GGGCAGATCTTAGATCATGATTGGCTGTTCAGTTGAGCGGTTCCATTGGTTGGTCTGTTATCTTGCATCCTGAATGATCGCTGACCACGTGACCTTCGAGTTTGGCCGCCCTGGCTCCCGCACTCTGCTCGGTGGAATGCCCTCCTCCCTCGGCCCCTCTGTTGATCTGACTCCAAGTGGTTTCTCCGTTTGTTAACCTCATCTGCGCTGCATTGTGTGCAAAATGTGGACGCTCGAAAAAAAACCAAACGAATGGATGGACTAGCTGAACAAGAAACCAGCAACAGCGCGGACCACGAAGTCGAGGTCCATAGCCCGTCGAGCGTTGACCCATGGATAAGAATTACGGAGTTTAGGCTAAAAAGTCACGAATAATTCGGCCAACCGGAACAGAAGCTAATGGGTCAACCAGTGGAATGGCCCGGACATACCTAAATGTCCGTCCACAGAATATAAAAACGTGAATACCGCTACAACCATTCAACGCGGAGCACCGATTCGCCAATCTCAAACAAGAGTCATGTGAGTCTGTACTGCTGATGAGCTCTAATAAGAGCGAAACTCGAGTCCAGTGTCTCCCCCTTCAATGTGGACTCATTAGAATGATTGCGCCGGGACAGTAGGACGGACGTTCAAACGAGAGTCATGTGAGTATGCACTCTATAAAAAAATTCCGCAACTACCGACACCTAACAGCCAAACTGTCTACACTTACAGTCAGTCGATAAGCTATCAACAGGTCATTACCAAATAAATCAATCTGAAGTAACAAAAATCAATGTGTTGTAGTAGACTTACTAGCTGTATTGCTGGCTAATTTTGACCTCATTTTCATCATTTGACCGTTATCAACACATGCACACTTTCCAACCAATTTCTGCAGTTTGATACTGCCCTAGTGGAGCAAATTATTTGACAAATCTATCTTGGAAACCTCAAGATCAAACGATGTCTGATTTCGCATCATTCTCACAGCACCAAACAGAGCCCCCTACCTTTGGACTACACCAGAGGAGCAAAGAATAGCAAACTTCCTTCTTCGTGGCAATAACCCTTTTCGTCAGATGGGTTGCTTTCGACACACAATTTGGTTGCATTTTACTTGAGATGAGCCCACTCAGGATACCGAGAATACAGACGGAAATGTGTGCAACATGGTGGGACACCAAAGCACACTGATCAATATATGCTTTCTCCCACTGAACTCTGGGAGCATGCCAATGGGGGCAGATGAGTAGAGTTCACAAACGATTTGGCGTGCGATGAAGTGGGAAAAGGGAAAGAATAAGAATCATGGTTTGCAAGAATCTACAATATAGCGCAGAGAAACTTTGTGACCCACGGTTAGGGGAAGAATACCTCGACCATGCAGCAGAATACTTCAGAGAACAGCTGTTGTGGACACCAACTGCCGTTCATCTGGAGCCCACAGCTGACGTAGAGCCCAGGACGGTGAACGTTGAAGTCCCCATGGCTTCGCGGGTTAATGAATGCATACGTTTTCTCATGCTCCTCCACCGGATGACATTCCACGTGCATCGTTCAAAGATGGGGGTGAAGTCCTCAGTCAGCGATTGTCCGATCTGTTTGCTTGTATTTGGGACAAGGAGTCTATCCCAGACAACTGGGGAGAGTCGGTGATAGTGTCCATTTTCAAAAAAGGAGCGCGTAGTGAGTGTAGTAACCACAAGGGAATCAGCTTAACTTCGGTCGTAACGAGACTGGTGGCGTCACTTTTGCTTCGTCGCCTTATGGTGGCTCGTGAAACACTGACGCTATAACAGCTAGTGGGAATCCGGCCTGGTAGAGGTTGCATCAGGTGCTAGAACAACTCCATACGCACACACTATACACAATTTTAGTAGTCCTGGATTTCCAAGGAGTATTTGATTCAGTTGACCAGTCAGTTCTCCTTAATAAGCTTACCCATCAAAATAATGCCCCGGAAGTTTGTGAACATAATAAGTTCTTTGTATTTCCGGAATGCGGAAGTGTATACGGACTCTCTGAAAACTTCCGTACACTAAGCGGTGTCCGTTAGGGGTCCCCACTATCTCCATTCATATTTACTTTCGTGATCGATGATATAATGAGACGAATGCTGGGAGGTCTTCAAAACCCCGGTGTTCAAATAGCCTCTGAGGAGAACCTCGTCGATCTGGAATATGGGGACATCGTTCTCGTCTTCGAAGAAAAGACGCAGGTGTTTTTCGATTAACTGACCAATCATTGCGTCCTTTGGTATGAACATTGCACCCGCAAGCCGTAGGGTCATGCTCCTAGACATGCGGTCATTGAACACGCCACTTACAATCCAGGGAGAAGCACCGGAAGTTTTGGGGGTTTCACGTATCTTCTGACTGGAGCGGCAGATGAGGTCAATGCACGAATCTGCAGGGTTTGGGTCGTATTTGATAATTTGGAACGCCTATGAGATCAAAGCGCTATATCTCTGAATCTCAAGGGACGTGAGTATCGGGCTATAGTACGGGCTGTCTTGTTGTATGGCTGTGAGACTTGGCCTGTTTGGGCAGCGGGACCAGGACATCCTCAGGTGTTCGACAACCGTTGTCTCAGAACCATAGCTCGTGTGGGTTGGTGTCGGCGAACCCATAACGAGGTAATTAGAAAGCGAGTTTTCGGCTGTGTAACGAGGACTTCCATTGGAGAATGTGTCCAGCACAAGAATCTGCTTTGGTTAAACCATGTACTGCGCATACCGAACCACCGTTTGCTGAAGGGAGTGCAAATTTCCGTGCCCCATTCACAATACGGCTTTCAAACAAATCAGGGTTGTGGCAGCGAAACGTCAGTGCTAAACACTGATGTCATGCTGTCGATGATGATGTAAGGAGTGATTTTTACAACGACACCGGAAACATGATCAGAGTGTACGGTCTCTACGAGGTCTCAAAAATGGGGACTACCGATTCATCAGCTGAGTCCAAACTTCAGATAATCAGATGGTCACGTATTCTATAAACATATATTAAAGGAGTCAGCTGGATTCTTACCATGCCTATTTTGCTATTTTCCCCTTGACATCAGTTTCATGTGAGGACCAGATGATATTCTGGTGGGCAGTTATAGGTGCTATTGGGCCTGGTTCACAGGTGAGACGCAGATCGGAATGCTTCCCCAAATGCCCAAAACTTCGTTGAAGACTATCGGTGTTTGGACTTAAACGTAAAATACTTCAATGAAATCAGTCCCTCTGGTATTGGTCATCTGAGCAGGGCATGAAAGGTTCGGTTTTGAACCAAGCCTCAGTGCACGCCAACGTGGGCCATCTGTTAGTGTTGGACGCCCAATAACCGGAGTGATGAAGCGAAATACGAATGGCGCAGTGGGATTACAGGTTTCATTGCAACTGAAGAAGCTGACAGCACGAGTTCCGGAAAGGTTGTGTTATAAGGGGTTGACCTACGTTGGAGGTATCTCTGTTGCTTTTCTCCAGAAAACGACAAGAGTGAAGTCTGTTGACAGTTAATTGTTCAAGTCGTATTTTCAAGCGCCGCCAAAATAAGCAGCGTCATTTTGTACACACACATACAAAGGATCTATTCCGACGAGCGTGAAACAAACCTGTCATATGCGATCCTGGTATTGGTAAATTTTGCGGGTCTACCATCAATCACTGACGACGATACGGATAAAAACTCGCGACAGTAAAGTGCAGCTGGGATATTTATAGCAGCATATCACGTGATTTTCTTATACAAAACTGTGGTTCATCAGTGATGTCTGAGACTACAAAACCGTTAGCCGAAACCAAGGCTCTGGGAACCATAATAAAGAACATTGATGACCATGTTCTAAAGTAGATAATGAATCATAAGCTCGACTAAGGCTACAAAAAAGATGGAGAGCTTGTTTGTCTAAATTGTCAATGGGTGTCAAAGTTTTACGATGACCGCCGTACAGTACCAGATTCAAAGCACGATTATGGCCTTTGAAAAAAGTGATGTGGTCACATGACACGTGCAGTCATTTTTGCTTGTGAGGAAAGGAACGAGAGGAAATGGCGAAAATCCGGTGGTTGCAAAACATATCATGGTGTTCAGAAGCACTGGTAAGTCAACCAGTGATAAAACTGCTAGTAACCTCACTTGCGTCACCATTTCGCTTGCGACGGGGAAATTCACCGTGAAGTAGATGCCATCAACAAACAAAAGGCCTGTTTTCTACGAAGACAGCAGCATCCCCGAAATGACAAACTTCGGCGCATTGGGCGCTGATCATAAACCGCACGAACCAGATACAGAGCGATTTCACAAAAACTCTTGATGGAAGTCCGATCATAACTAGCGGATGACTCGTTGACCTGAAATGAAGTTGACGTCAGCACAGAGAAGTCCGAAACCGTATGAAAAACCTCACACTGTGCACGAACACAGTGGGGCTGTTAGCTCTAATTTATGATGTTTTAAGCATTTCGCTAATTTTCGTGCAATTCGGTCTCCAGTGGAACATAAGGTTGATGGAAACTCGGGGGCTGTGCCTACCTGATGAGCCCCAGGAAGGGCGAAACCGGTCGTGGGCTGTCGAAGAATTTTCAGCAACCTTATGAATAGCGTATTACGTCTATACATGTAGCGCGACATCTGGGATACCGTAACAATTCGAACACCGGGCGGCCTGGTGCAGCACATTCAGTTGCTCAAAAACATCATAAATGAGAGATCCCAGCAGGGTTCCAGGCGAGTCTCTCGCAAAACCAAATTCGTTTGCAAATGAGTGTGCTCCGCTAACTATAAGTGACCTCTCAACACAGACAATCCCTGAGGTCGTCCACTGGCGTCCGCCCTTGAAACACCACATCTTAGCAAAGACTGGATATAACGTAAGTGAGACTGTCCCATTCATAACCTCCAAATTTTTTCACGCGGTTTAAAACAGCTCTAAAAAAGTACCGCCACATATTCGCAATCGTCCTAACTACCAAGTAGACGAAGTAAGTGCATCACGAGATAACTGAAGAAATTCTTCAGAATCAAGAACCAAATCAATGTATGGAAACGATCTGAAAAAAACTGTGGAAAACATAGGCTCGTGAGTTAGTTCGGGTCACAGTTGAATTGTATAAAGAAGCATTCCACTAGAAAAAGGCACATTCGATAGTGATATCGAATCGAAGACAAACGAGAGAGTTGTGATAATGCCTCCCTGGTGCGCAATCTGTTGATTGAATCGATGAAAAAACGGCTATAAATTTACTGATGATGTGTGTGCATGGGGTAGTAAACCAGAAACACAAAATCAATATTCTGCTGGCGGTCACTGAACACTGAGCCCAAATTAATACCATTAGAAAAAAAAACTGGGGGATGGACAGAATGCACTAAGAACCCAGAGGAATGCAAGGTATTTGAACATGTCTCTGGAACGGAGGTATGTATAATGGGGGCGCGGATGTAATGTGGAATGAAGAAGGTATTTATCACAGTGTCTTCTAACATGACTGCTACCTGAACAATCAATGAATGGCTCACATACATTGCTCAGAACGTAGGTTAGATGTGATACCCTTCAATAGGTGGTGCGGCTTTAAAACCGAACATGAGGTCTGATGTAGTGAGACAAAATATACAGAGATCATCCGATAATACATGATGATCTACAAGTCCTCAAGGCACGGACCCATTTGGTACACAATCAGGAGCCTGTTCGGAACGTTTTGACGGTGGAACAAGATGGTCCGGTAACGCTGAGGGAAGATCGTTGCCTTCCACTTTCAGCTTGATCAAGTAGTTGGCCAAAGCAAATTCATCGGCATCCAGACGACCATCTTTGTCCACGTCAGACAGTTGCCAAATGGTTCGAAGCACAGAATTTGGAAGTTGTGAGGCGACCAGGATCGGTTTGACCACGTCTCCGGTGACTAAGCCATCTTTAGGATTTAGCGACTGGAAAGTCTTGAAACGTGAAGAGGAGAAAATCCTTATGCGAACAGACAGCAACAAAACGTTGTGACACACAACCATACAGTATAGAAATTGAATGCCGAAAGATGATGGGTCTACAGTTATGGACAGATACCTATCATCAGTCTTATCTGTTGGCTCACCTATCGTCTGCTAGCCGCGGCACACTATAAGGTTAACTACCGATCAACTTTGGCGGAGCAGGTTTTGTTACAAAGCATGATGTGAAAAAAGGTTGTTCGTTCAGAAATAACGGCTGGGGGATGAAAATTAGGCATTCGTAGTGATCTAGATGACAAGGGTTGAGGACCATCATACACATTTACAACGTAAGTACTAGCACACAAGTCATTGCGGACGAAGTGAACTATTCCAAGGTGCTCTTACAAAACGTTTAGAAATCCCGGGTAAAACTAAAGTTTCATTGATTCATCGCAGAATACATGCAGTAGTGTACATCTAGTGAGTCCCCACAGGTGAACACACATACTTACATATCCGGTGATTCCTCGATGAATGATGACCCTATCTGAGCAGGGAGGAAGACTCACTAACCCATCAGGAAGAACACGTCCTGAATTCTAGGGTTGATTTTCTGTCACTTTTTGTCACCCAACGTGTAGCTGAATGACTGGGTAGCAAAGAAGTTTCCGAATAGATAATTATTTTTTACTCACATGTCACCAATGGAGGAGTACTAGGTCAGGCAGCATTGTGTTCAGATTACAACAGTCAGAAGAAGCTTTGCTGAGTTGCAAAGAACTGAATATCTGAATATTTTTTACCAGTTAAGTCAACATTACTTAAGCGATGAGGGCATCCTGAAAAACACAGATCACGAGACTACAGGACTACTTGAGACGTTATTTATCCTATCTACGGACTAAGTTAAGACGTGCTTCGACCGGTCAGCGCAACAAGACGTTAGGAAACTAGTCTAGTCTATGGCAGAGATATTTTGTTGGTCAATGCCGCATCATATAAGGTTATAATAGAGATGAATAATCGAGCCATTAGGGGTTGGATACCTGGTAAGACTGCGAATCAGGCGGGTATATGTAATTCCTCGTTTGACCGATGCAGGGTCACTTCTATGCAAAACAGTATATGGAAGGCTGGAGAAAAATCACGACAACGGAAATGACCGACCAGATGTGTACAATCTGTTTAGGGCCATTTAAGGTCAGCTGTGAAGTGATGATCGATACAGCGGAGAGTTTACACGTTCCCATCCTAGTGAGATTTATGCCTGAGCACTCTGGGTTTATTAAACGTCCCACTACGACCGATTTACTATCCAGAGCTAGATATGTGTGTTTCGCTTCGGATACACGTTCATATCCCGCACGAACAGAAACTAATGCAAACACGAACATTCCGCATCCGAGTTACTATGCACGCCTGGCTCATCGGAAGTGTGAAGAAAATGCTATTCGCTTATAAAGCAGATGCCGTCCTCCATCTGAGCAACGACAACGAGATAGATGTGCTGTGAGAGATAACAACCCTAACGGAAAATGTACCAACTGCGCAACACGGTTCAAGCTACGTTCGACAATCTTTCTGGCAGCTGCAAGTACGAAATGATCGTCTTCTGCCTCTCAGACAGCAGTACAGCGGAGAAAACTGCACGCGATAGCTGAAAGACATAGGCTCTCAAAATACTGACGTGTTTGAGCCATGCGTAAACTTTTACAAAAAGCGCGTGTGCTCAAGCTTTGGACATAAACACACTTCATGTATGAAGCTAAATGACGGCTAACGCGTGTGATCTACCCGAACGGAGATAACAGCTAATTGTCCAACCACTGGTGGGGTTGTTTTCGGTCTCCCTAAGTTGGCTGCGTTAATGGCTCACGTCATAATTGCTAAGGGATCATGACCTCCGCTGGTTGAGTAGCAAACAGATTGTACATCTGTGAACTGTATGACATCCCATTCTTCCTATTTTCCTCTGCCCTCGCTTTTATTCAGTTTTCGGTTAAATCCTCTTGATCACCAACCACATTATATTAAAAACAGCAGGTTCTTCGTCGTGTATCCTTTCAAAGTCTTTATATCCAATTGAGAGAGATCTGACCGGTGCCTAAGAGCGAACATGGATCTAGGCCTATAACAGGAGAATAGGATGCGGTTTTTCGCGATAACACAATCTAGAAAGTAGGGTTGCGTTTTAGTAGCCAAAGGTAGCAAAACAAACCACATCAAGCTTCCTAAAGATTCATCCACGCGTTCGGATGAATAACACAGTAATCTGTATAAACCATATGTGTGAATTTACGGCCAGAAATACAATCTATTACCAGCTCCTGCCACATACACCTGATGGTCGGTGAACAGAGTAGATTGAAAAGGTGTAGTGCGCTTTTAAAAGTGTCTACCAAACGGTGGATAGGTTAGGATTTCGTAAGCGCACGATCACTATCAAGACAATCATGGGTATCAATACGTTGACGGTAGGATCGTGATGTCACGTGACTGTTCGGGCCTTCATGTCCGCGAGGTACAAACGCCCGAACTCCAAAAAACCACAGAGTTCATCAGAGTCCGATGGGAATTCACCATCTCCCGTGTAGCATACTGTACCAATGCTCCAAGAAATCCATCCATGCACGGCCAAACCACGAGTGAGTACGGCTGAGACCGGTGTGCTGCCTTGATAGGGCATAGAATGTTGCATGAGAATGACCAGACAGCGGCTGATTCAAATCCATACGCAATCAACACATCTGTTGACCCATGCATACGCACTCCGGTGTTTGGAACAAGTTGTATAACAACCAAAGGTGATTTCTAAAGACGAACGACGATAGAGGGCTCGTGTGAGTGTGCACACATCTGTTGACCCATGCATACGCACTCTGGTGTTTGGAACAAGTTGTATAACAACTAAAGGTGATTTCTAAAGACGAACGATGATAGAGGGCTCGTGTGAGTGTGTATTCAGACCAAGTTAAGTGGACATGTGCATGGTTTGGCATAGCCATGAACGCACAGACGAGTACCTCCGTGCGAAAAAGCACGCTCAGGTGTGTTCATCGTCGGGATCGAAATCCGAATTGGTGCCCTAAAAACTGTAGAACTACGACTGTATAAATAAGCCCACGTTGTAAACATTTCTGAAAAATCGACAGATACACGAAAGACTTTCAAGGCTACCCAACACGCCTTGACTTTATCTGACCCCGGAAATTCACATGTTCAATGCATATCCTTCACGACAGCTGTTAACTAAATCAATTTTTACCTGTGCACGGACGCGGTGCGCTGAGACGGTGAGAAATGCCAGTGCAAGACTTGGCACGGAATATGTGAAGTCTCAAATTGTTTCTTACCAGTGTGTGGCGTTTTCGTACAATCGCCATTGAGCTGAGTGGAAACTAGCCTTGTTACAGGCATGGAGGACCTCAGAGCGCTCGGTGCTTGGGTACAAACCGAGTCTATTTTGTGTATGAGGTACTTATTAAATGGTTATTACGATCAACAAAGTTCCGCTGAGTATTTTGATACTTGTGTAGGCTCATGAGATCAATGCATCCACTAACAATAACACGGACTGCTATCCATCAGAGGAGTCCTGTGAACTGTTACATTGTTTGTATCAATAACACAGTTCATCAATGCGTGTTAGGCGTAATCAAGAACGTTGGCGTTCTTATTCTGATGCATTCCTGGTTGTATCCATGACCACTGCTCGTGTCAAATGCAACTAAGGATATCGAATGGGTCAGTGAAGTATCCCTCACGGCGTTTCACACTCTCAGTACATAGTATTTCTCCTTAAGAGCTCAATTCGTACCGGACCGAGAATGGTTATATGCTTAGTGAATAGATGATATGAGAGATACTGTAAGAAGTTGGCTTTAAATATCCAAACCTTTTAAGTTAAATGGAAAAGGAGGAAATCAGGTGGTACTACCATCGTTTCGGGCTGTGTACACACTACGCACATTACGCCCTAATGGTTTATACCACACAGTGATTTCCGGCGATAGCTGTCCCACTTCAAACAGAAAGATTTCTCGCCGATATACGGAGTGCGATCGAATCACAAGTATCCGCAAACTAACGGGAAATGATCCATGGGTAACGATCAGAACAACGGAGGGGCAGGAAGCTCGGAGTTTTGAATATCAGTCTAAAACTTCTCCAAGGAATCGAAATTTCATTTGAAAGAACTGGGATGCTGGGGGGGGGGGGGGGCA